TGGTCATCCCTCACTAATTCCCCCCCCCCTCCCCCCGCCAGCCTGGTCACCCCACGCAGTCTGCTTGTTCAGTCATTTGGTCGTCCCTCACTAACCCCCCTGCTGGCCTGGTCGTAGGCAGCCATCTTGTGAGGGCGTGAGAGTTAATTTGCATATTACCTCTTTGTTATATAGGCCATTCATTTATTTAATCCTCACCAGAGGATATGTTTTTCTTGATTTTAGAGAGAGAGGAAGAAAGAGAAACATTGATTGGTTGCCTCCTCTACTCGTCAAACTGGGATCAAACTGGGAACCTAGGTATGTATCCTGACTGGGATTGATCCTGCAGCCTTCTGGAATATTGAACAATGCTCCAATCAACTGAGCCAGTTGGCCAGTTGGCCAATATTCTTATCTTTTTATTGCTACTGCAAGTAAGGTTTTCCTTCCATTATATTTTCTAATGGGTAATTATTTTTGTATAAAAGCTGTTTATTTTTGCATGTTGATTTTATATCCTGCTACCTTGATGGATACTTTTGAGTTAGCTTTATCATTGACTAGAGGCCCAATGCATGAAATTCGTGCAAGGGGCTTGGCCCTTGCGCCTTGGCTGCTGCCTCGGCCCTCGCAGCCCCTGCTTCATCCAGAAGGTCATCAGGACAGTCATTCTACTGTTCGGCTGTCCAGTCTAATTAGCATATTATGCTTTTATTATTATACATTATCTGGGACTTTCCAGGTACTATCAGATCACCTGAAAATAGAACAGTTCTATTTTTTCTTTTACTTTTACAATTCCAATATGTCTGTTTTCTATTGTCCAATAGCATTGGTTAATAATTCTAGAACAATGTAATAGTGGACAAGATAGTGGACATTCTTGCCCAAGCTGTTGACCTTAGTGAGACCTTATTTTTAGTGTTTTCCACTAAGTGAAAGGCTAGTAAGTAATAAGTTATACTTACAACATAAAAAGAATTTAGTTCTCATTTTCTATGTTCTAAACCACCCTATGTAACTTTGGGAGACCATCTGGTCTCAAAGGTTTGGTAAAATTCTCATGAAAATATCTGGGCCTGGTTTTGTTTTGGACTTTTTTGTTGGATAGTTTTTGATAACTTTTTTTATTCATGTTGTTTTGTTTAAGCTTTATATTTCTATTTCCACAGAGGTTGATTCTAATAATCATGTATCTTCCTAAGAAATTTTATCACCTAGGTTTGCACAGAACTTCTTATTTTATATTTTTTTCCTCTGCATTATTAGTCATTCTTTCTTGTCATTTTCTCGTTTGTTTTCTTCTTTTATTTACCTTAAATAAATTAGCTAGTGGTTAATTTTTCAAAGAACCAGATTTTTTAAATTTGCTATTTTTCTATTTACCTCACTTCCTGCTTTTTATCTTTGTATCTTTCCTTATACTCTTCTTTGGTTTATTTTGCTATTATTTTTTTAGTTGTCTGGTCTAGTAATTTAATTCACTTATGTTCTTTCATTTTTATCAATATAGATTTAAGACTATGAATTTCCCTCTCTATTGCTTAACATAGATTTTTATATACTTTCATTATTATTTTTCATGAATTCTTTCATTTCTGATTGAAGTTCTCTTTTCATTCTAGAATTATGTAATAGGTTTTTACATTTTCAGGTAGAAAAGTCTTTTGGGTTTTCAATTTCACTTAGGATTGGTATTATAGTGCTAATATTTCTTCTTTATAGAAACAACTGTGTTTTTTTTTTTTGCATATGCCCTAAATATCTTTTTTTTTAAAAAATATATTTTATTGATTTTTTAGAGAGGATGAGAGAGGGATAGAGTTAGAAACATCGATGCGAAACATCGACCCACTGCCTCCCGCATACCCCTCACCGGGGATGTGCCCGCAACCAAGGTACAGTCCCTTGACCGGAATTGATCCTGGGACCTTTCAGTCTGCAGGCCAATACTCTATCCACTGAGCCAAACCGGTCAGGGCCCTAAATATCTTTTTTTCTGATATTTCCATTTGATATATATATATATATATTAGAGGACCAGTGCACAAAAATTTGTGCACTCGGGGGTAGGGGGTCCCTCAGCCCAGCCTGTGCCCTTTCGCATTCTGGAACCCCTCAGGGGTGACCACTTGCTGGCTTAGGTCTGCTCCCCAGGTGATTGGGCCTAAGATAACAATCATACATCCATCTGCATACATCCATCTGGCAGCCCGGCAGCCCTCGGGATATGTCCACTTGCCAGCGGGGAGCAGACCTAAGCTGCAGTCCGACATCCTTAGTGCTGCTGAGGAGGCAGAAGAGGCTCCCACCACCACGGCTGTACTGGCAGCCATCAGCCTGGCTTGTGGCTGAGCAGAGCTCCCCCCTGTGAGAGCGCCCTGCCATCAGAGGGCAGCTCCTGCATTGAGCGTCTGCCCCCTGGTGGTCAGTGTGTGTCATAGTGACCAGTCATTCCCAGTCTTTCTGCTGTTAGGGTCAGTTTGCATATTACCCTTTTACTATATAGGATAGAGTCCTGGTGCACGGGTTGGGGCTGGCTGGTTTACCCTGAAGGGTGTCCCGGATCAGGGTGGGGGTCCCGCTTGGGTTCCTGGCCAGCCTGGGTGAGGGGCTGATGGCTGTTTGCAGCTGGTCACACCCCCTTCAGGGTGGGGGTCCCCACTGGGATGCCTGGCCAGTTTGGGTGAGGGACTGAGGGCCGTTTTCAGGCTGGCAGGCGACTGAAGCTCCCAGCCTCTTTTTTTTTTTATTCTGGGATTTATTTACCTTCTATAGCTGTCACTGGAGCTGAGAGCCGGCTCCAGCTCTGAGGCCATGGCTGGCTGAAAGCAGGTATCTGGGATTTGTTTAGCTTCTATAATTGCAACATTGTTGCATCCGGAGCTTAGAGCTGGGCCGTGGCAGGTGGGGAACCTTGGCTTCCTCCATCACTGGAGCAAGCAAGCCTCCTGTTCGCTTCAGCTGCGTGGCTGCTGGCCGTCATCTTTGTTGGCAGTTAATTTGCATATCGCCCTGATTAGCCAATGGGGAGCGTAGTGGAGGTATGGTTAATTACCATGTTTGTCTATTATTAGATAGGATATGTATTCTAAAATATCTCATTGATTCCACAGCAATTAAAATGAATTAGTGATAATTTAAGTGAAACACACACATAATTGTGAACAAAAAAGGGCAGACACACTATCAATGTTAGGTAGATGGACCTCCATTCTTTCAATTAGAATCTGTGTGGGGGATCTGATGGCAACTGAGGTTGTCAAGCCTTTTTGGCCCTCTAAACACTGGGACACAATCAATGTAATGCTAGGAAGTGCCCACTTGGTGGCCAAAAATTATTTGACTATACTTAGAAATAACTCTCAAATTGGACAATCTATACTAATAAAAGGGTAATATGCTAATTAGACCAGGAGACCTTTTGGGAGACCATCTGGATGTCCTTCCGGGTAAAGCCATAGCGGTGGGGCTAAGGCAGAGGTGGTTAGGGGCGATCAGGCCAGGAGGGGAGGGCAGTTGGGGGCAATCAGGCAGGCAGAGGGACAGTTGGGGGTGATCAGGAAGGTGGGGGGGGCAGTTGGGGGCAAACAGGCCAGGAGGGGAGAGCAGTTGGGGTGAGCAGGCCGGCAGGGGGGGTAGTTGGGGGTGAGCAGGGGGCAATTAGGCAGGCAGGCAGGTGAGCAGTTAGGAGCCAGTGATCCTGGATTGTGAGAGGGATCCCAGATTGGAGAAGGTGCAGGCTGGGCTGAGGGACACCCCCCGCCCCTGTGCACGAATTTCATGGACCAGGCCACTAGTCTATAATAAAAGCATAATATGCTAATTAGACCAGACGTCCTTCTGGACATCCTTCCTTTTGGACAAAGCTGCAGTGGGTGGGGGCCAAGGCAGAGGCGGCAGATGCTTCCCGGCTGCGGTGGGTGGGGGCCAGGGCCAAGGCCCTTGCACGAATTTCGTCCATCCGGCCTCTAGTGGATTGATAATAACCTTATGGGTGGATCCTTCTGAACCAATATACACCCTGTAGTTGTAAACTGCTGAATGTATTGTGGGAATAGATATTTTAAGTCAGCAGTGGAACACGTGTTAGGCAGACAGTATGGTTATACTAGTAAATGTGGCAATTCCACAGGACACCCTCTATTTGGAAAGGTTGGGGCTGGGGGAGAATACTCAGATGGGCTGATATATAACACAATTAGCCCCTTTTTGCTCCTCCCATCCCCCATCCCCATCCCATGCCTACCTCTGGGAAACAGAGCTACTGGTATTTGCAAGTGGCAATACAGAGTAGGGTTGGAGGGTCGAAGACTCTGGTGCTCCTTTTTCTGCCTTATGCTTGCTGGACCTGAAGGGTTGTGATGTCAGTGATATCATGGATATAAGGTGACAATTGCCATAGTCCTCTCGGCATGGCTCACATGTCAGGGAGAGAGAGAGATGGTCTAGATTTAGAATGATACTGTGTAGAAAAGGAATAAACCGCTGAGCCATCTAGGGATGACTCTGTCTCCATGGTGTTGATTAGACATGGTGAGGATTGGAAAAACAGTGAAGGGTCTGCTTCAGGGTCTCATCACACCATTCATATTACCGTAGAAAAAGAATAGCAACGCTGGCAGGGTAGGAACAGCTCAGACCTTGGGAGGTCAGGGGTAGGGGAGGGACCATTAACCTGTCTTGCATTCATGTCTGGAAGAATGCACAGGAAGATGAAGATGATATACCTGTAGAATTTCATACCTGTAGAATTTTGAACCATGTGGCTATCTACATATTTTAAAAGCTACTAAAAATTTAAAAATAAAAACATTGTACCTAAATCTGGAACTAAAATTTAGAAATTAACATTCAGGCCATAAATCTGGACCACTCTCTAGTAAGAACCTAGAATATAAAAACACAATAAATACAAAAGTTAGACTTTCTTTTAACAGCGATATACACACAATTAATTCACACAATTTTCTAGTATGAAATTTCTTTTAGAAATGTATATATACAAGAATAGTGCAAGCTGTTAACTTTATTTTTATTTAATATAACCAATGAAGTTAACAAATATATTTTAATGTAACAGAATTATAATTGGTAAGTTTCATCTACATTTTAAAGAATTTCAACAATTATTTTAGTATAGCCAAAGACTTAACATTTAAATTTTACCCTTTTTGAAATGTAAAATGCACAATTATAATACCCATTCTACATTTCTTACAATTTTAAAGTTTTAGCTAAAACATGAGTAAAAACAAGAGTTCTCCTACTCCTAAGACAAATAAAATGTATTACTAATAAAGTGCCTTTCGACAATACTATTTCAACTATCTCCTATTTGGAGAGGACAACAGTACATAGAGTATAGAGCTAGTCATTTTCATTATACTAGTGTAGAATCAGTAATTTGCATTACACTTTGTAACAAGGATGAATGCTTATTTGTAGTAGATATTAACAATAAAGAATTCCTCTCACGAAAGATCACAACTATGACTTATGACAAGCTGTGTAGTCAGCACTGAACAGTTTAGTATCCAGAGTTTTTTAAAAGTGCACTCTTGAACTAAAACAAACCTGTCTACCAACACTAAGAAATAGTTTTAGGGACTTCATATAAATAAAAGAACATTTCTTTCAATTGTAAATAGGTTTCAACCTGTTCTAAGGAGAGGAATAGTGGTGGATGATCAAGTTTGGCACTAAGTGTGTTTCTAGCAGGTGGAAGCCTGATATGCATTGCTATTAGATGCATCATTCACAGAAGGAAAATGTACGAATTAGATGTATACAGCACTTTTCAGGCACTTGACTTCACTTGGTGGTTAAATTGATGTTCAGATATTTAATGGAAAAATATTAAATTATATAATAACTTCAAGTCATGTTCCTTCCCACAGAACATCTGTGTTCCGTAAGCTAAATCCAAATGTTCCCTGCTAAAATCAAATAATGATACCCAATTCAGAAAGAAAAAATTTAATAGATTAAAGGTAATAAATTGCATTTTCTCAATTTAAAAGTTTTCCACAATAAATTTTCTTTCAGGCTTTGTTGGCTACTACTTGTCTGAATGCTAGGAGAAAAATGTCTTGAAAACTGTGAAATATTATGCCTAAATGATAGAAAATTTTAAGCCATTGGAAGTTTAATGTACTAATTATGGAAATATATCTATAGTTTGCTCTTACACTTCTTAAGAGCCATATTTTCTCCTAGTAAATCTGTTCCTAGTTCATATAATAGAATTCAGTATGTAAACATTTTAACGTGTACCTAAACAAGCGTTATGAATTTTGATCTGTTGTCCCTAAATATGTTTGAGAACCACTAACTACATCAATGTCTGACTGAAACTACCTTTGGGGTCCATGCTAAAGAAATGTTTTCAGATATATCATTAAGGATAGGGTTCTAAGATAAGACCATCAAACTGTACTCTAAGATGAACAAAAAAGTGTGTGTGTGTGTGTATATATATATATATGGCAAAATTCCAGTATAGTTGTCACTAATGTCCCCATTTTTTCTTGAATACTTAGCATGTAGTTTAAGTATGTTGATATTAAGGATTTTTTTATTTGCATGTATTGCAATTTGGGAAAATTCTGCAATATATTTTTAGGCAGTTATCTTTAAAATAATAAAACTTGAACTCTTAGCACAAACAGCCCTGAGAACAATGCATTCAAATTACAGCTCAACTAGAAATAATCTAATTGAGAAACCTTGAAAGTACAAAAACAAATTCTGAAAAAGTCGTAAATTAAAAAAAAAAAAAATACCAACATTTGAGGCACTACCATACTACAGTACTTTTAAGAATTGGAAAGACTTTGTTAAAAAAACAAACATACAAAGCTGTGTGTGCACATGCACACACATTGTGCTATAATAATGAAACACTGTGTCCCTAATTTTATAGACTAAACATTTTATTGCAGCATCTATTAATGATATATCATGCTCTGGCTGCTGCAGAGTTTTGGTAACTGTTATAAAGCATTGGTAAGGAATTTTGTATCATCAGTGGACACTGATTCAAGAGCATGGTTAGCAACAATTTCAAGTGACTGACAGCCCTTGGAAGGGAGCAGGAAAGAAACATCATAATTATGCTGCGAATGCTAAGTCAAAGTAGAAAAGATTTGATCTATTTCAGAGGGTATACAACTTTATAGCAAATAAGGTATAACAAAGCCTTCACAGTACAAAGAAAATGTTCTAGAAAGAAACACATATTCCACTTGTTAATATTGTATATCAGCGATCTTCAACCAGTGTGTCGCAAGAATTTTTAAAACATGCAATACTCGACTATTTGGTCAGGAGCACTGACCTCTTTTCCCTTAGATTGTCAAATGAAAAAAATGACAACAGCCAACACAACAATAGTTGTCGGTTGTGAATCAAAATTATACTTTTCTTTTTTTAAACCAGGTCAGCAAAAAAATGTATTTTTTGGTGTGCCGTAGAATTTTAGCAATTAGTTTATGTGTGCCATGAGATGATACAAGGTCGAAAATTGCTGTTGTGTATAAACTGGTGAAATGCCTGAAGACAAACATGGTGTATCACTGTAGAGCCTTATCAACATGACAGTCTACATTTCACACATGGTAACTTGTGATATTTACCATTTGTAAATACCAAAAAGTACAAATACTAGGAATCAACTTTGAATATCTCTGATGTCAAAAAAGAATGAAGTCACTTCTGTTTTATGTTAAAAAATGTTTCCTTGCTTCTTTTTAATACAATTTACAAAGCTTTACTAAATGAAATATTTTGTTCTAGAGAAACATATTGACTTATGTGAAAATAAACAGTCCCATATCTTTAAAATCTATACTTACATGTCAGAAAAGTATTTATACTTCTTTATAGTGCTTAACATGAATTATCTGTGCATAAATAGCTTTTGCCATTCGAAGTCTGAAGATAGAGATGCATTATTATAATTTACATACACTTACCTTGCAATTGAAAATATATTTATGTGAAGTTTGACAAGTTAGGAAGAACAAAGGCATGCTGACCCAGAATTAATACAAACCAGAACACTAGTATGGTTAACTGGGGTCATATGCATGACCAGCAAGCAGCACAGCTGGATAACTTTCTAGAATTCCTGTGGGTAATAATGTCATCCAATAGCAAATAATATACACATTATAAAATACTAAAAAACAAGAATAGTATGTAGTAGATACTGAAATGGAATATTGGAAAGAATTTAGTCTAATTCTTAATTGTGCTTTAGATGGGCAAAAGCTAAAATGCTGCACTAAAAATGATTAATTGCAACCTCAATATTTCTTGTGCTTTAGAATTCTCTTTGCATTTCTTTAAAGTATCTTGCTTCTTCTCCAAATCAGTTTGCTGAGGCTAAGAAGATTTAAAAGTATGAGCAAATTAAGCAGCAAAACTTTGGGATCTTCTGTTTTTAATGCTATTTCCAGCCACTGATTAGATTAGTTGCAGTATCACATATTTTCTTCTAGATGATAGGGATAGGAATAAAGGCCTGTGTAAGTCGAGGCATGATGGGAGAGGTCTCATAATCAGTCATAGAGAATGGAGGTATTCTGAAACAGTAATTTTGTTTTGAGTTTCACGCCAATATAATCGTTGTTACTGAGTCAAAGGTCCTCACAAACCCTATGACAACATTTAGAATTCTGGAAATAAGGTGTGTGTGTACAGAAATGTAGCAGTCACCTAAAACACTTTTTAAAAATAATTCAGTTTTACAGAATTTCTTCCTAATTACATGAGTAATTGAATTAAGTCACGTGACAATCAGAAAAACTATATATAAGTACTTTTTAGTTAATGATTATCACATAAAGTAACTTTTCTTCCATAATTCATTTCATTCTAGAAAAGAATGTACATACATTTAACAACTGTTTCAATTTGAAGTTAGAATTTCCAGTCTTTGTCTGACATATTTTTTTTTTAGATGACATAAATATTTTGATGTTAAAAAAGTCTACTTACACCTAACTGGTTTGGCTCAGTGGATAGAGCATCAGCCTGCGGACTTAAGGGTCCCGGGTTTGATTCTGGTTAAGGGCATGTATCTTGGTTGCGGGCATATCCCCAGTAGGGAGTGTGCAGGAGGCAGCTGATCGATGTTTCTCTCTCATCGATGTTTCTAACTCTCTATCCCTCTCCCTTTCTCTCTGTAAAAAGTCAATAAAATATATTTAAAAAAAAAGTCTACTTACAAATGCTTGGAAAGGAATGACTACTATAAATAATATTTATCAACATAATTAAAAACACTGCATAGTACCTTGCAAAGCAAGTCACTGCTTTAAATACAGAGAGGGAGAAAGAGAAAAAGAGAGAGAGAGAGAGAGAGAGAGAGACCAAAAGCTGAAAGCAAAAGTACAACTAGAAGCTTTCTGATTACAAAGGCCTCAAATAAAAAACTATAACTTTAACGAACTCATTTTGCCACTGTCCCTGTGTCTTCTTTACAATATGATTTTTTAATAGTTACCCAACAGTTTACTGCCTGTCAACCACAGCAGGTATAAAAATCACCATATATAAGGTTACATTAAGTCGGCCAACAATTTGGCAAAGAACAGTAAGACCAAGGTAACACAGGGTATTGCAATGACACTTTTTGATAACAGGATTTTTGTTTAAGAATTTGTGCTTGCCATACATCGGCTGAAACTGTGACAATTCCAATCCATTATCTGCTTACTCTGTATGTTAGGTCTGAAATTAATACAGAACAATTCAACTTAAATGTGGTACTTCGATAGCACTGGATGCTACATTGTTTGATTTAAAACCCTGGTTTATTTATCACTTAACTAAAATTCACAAATGATATACTCAAATCACATCTGTAGAAGCTACCTTGTCTGTTTCTTGGACTCACATACTGACAACCACAGGAATGTTATAAAAAAAAACACCTACAAAAAAAAAAGAATTATACATCGTGATTATTTTTTTAAATTACTAATTGCGTGCAAAACTAACTCAGCACAATTTCAAGACAATTAAAAGATAAATGAGGTTGCTTCTGAAGGCCATAGCTTTGGTGACAACTTAGAACCAAACTTGAGATCTGTAGCTGATCCAGACCTAAACAGTTTGTCATGTCTGATGCTCCCATTTATTTGCAGGGCTTTATGGCTACAGCATATTCTTCACTCATTGCACACATGACAGACACCTAGGAGGAAAAATATAAGCAAAAGTTCTTCAGAAGGCAAGACATATATAAGATATAGTTCATTCTTATATACTGTATATTCGTGGATATTTTATACATATTAACTTTGGAAAGAGGTATCCCAAGATCAAATAATCTCCTTTCTTTATAGTTCCCAAAGAGAACAATTTCCAGGGAACAGGGAGAATAAGAGCTATAAATGTTTCAATACTTACTAGATGTTACGTATTTCCATAACATTCTTTCTCATACTAAAAAAACCACCTCAGATATTGATCTTCAACACAAATTTGAGGGGGACAATGTCTATGTAGCAAAAAATTTAACTCTGATACTTTCTTGGGTATGGGTCTTTAAGGATATTATAGGAAAACTGCTTTATAGACATCATTTTCAACATTTTGGCAGTATTTAAAAACTACCTTCATGTAAGTATTTTATGCAAACTAGATGAAGCCAAATTCTTATAAAATAGTTATAAAAAATAATCCTCCCATATGTCTTTACCTGTACATCTTCACCTGCATTGTATTTTCCTTCTATTTCTTTGCCTAGTTCACCTTCTGGCAGCTTTAGATCCTCACGAACTTCACCAGTTTCTGTCAGCAAGGAAAGGTAACCATCCTGAATGCATATCAGCTATTGAAAGGAATTATATTTGCACCAATTAGATTATATCCACTCCTTTGTAATATTTACATAGTTAAGTTGCAATCCACATCAATTAGTATAAGTACACAGTAATACATTAATATTTTCTTCATGCTTAAAAAATGTTAGACACATAAAACTATAAAATATGTATAGACTAAAAGTGTAAATTCACTTCTCCCTGCACTTCCCCTGCGCCCAAGTCTCTGCATTATTAAATAGTTTAGGCTTCTTTATAATGTATCGTGAAGCATTTACATTTATGTACACACTATAAATATAATTATTTAAAGAAATATAAATAGTACAAGTATTTTTCAGCAAGTTATTTTCACTTAACATGTCTTAGAATTCTTTCCAAATTGGAAAATATGGACCTACCTTAGTCCCTTTAACTTTACAACTGCATAGATACACTGTAACTGATTTAATCATTTTCCCATTGATGGGCATGAAGGTTAGTTTTTCACATTTACAAACAATGTGTATTTTAGTTTGATTATGAACAAAGTGGAAAAATTTTAGTCTCCAACTCACTGCTTAACACCACCAGATTTTTTTTTTTAAAAAGACAAACACTGGCTGTTGATGACAAAATGAAACAAACTCAGGTATCAACCTAATTTGCAAGAAGCCACAGTTTTGATATAATTAAATTTCTTTTATTATAGGCATGAGGAAACAGCCAGGCTGTATTCATTATTCTAAAAGCATGTATACCATCAGTGTGCCTAGACCAGGGGTGGGCAAACTTTTTGACTCGAGGGCCACAATGGGTTCTTAAACTGGACCGGAGGGCCGGAACAAAAGCATGGATGGAGTGTTTGTGTGAACTAATATAAATTCAAAGTAAACATCATTACATAAAAGGGTACGGTCTTTTTTTTTTTTAGTTTTATTCATTTCAAACGGGCCGGACCGGGGGCCGTAGTTTGCCCACGGCTGGCCTAGACTCTAACAGGAATTATAGAAGACAAACACCCTGAATACAGATGTTGACATTAACATACACAGAAGGAGTTAAAGACATGGTTGTGGACCCCTTTCACTACTATGATATAACACATCACACTGTAGGGGGAGAGTTTCAAACCGCTCCTCTATGGCACTAGCAAAGCTGGCTATGACTTTCTACAGTAACTCCAAGGACCACAGGAGTTTTACACATGTCTAAAATCTCAAAAACAAAAAAATAAATAAATATCTTCCAAAGCAACCACAAACACTTTTAATTAATCTTTATGTCCCTCAAACATTTGTGAGGTGGCTGACAGAGGAGCAGGCAATAAGGAGGTTGAGGTAGAAGTATAATTTTTAAACAATTAATTACAGGCTTACAAGGCAGATCTTTTTTATTTTCGTTCTTTTAGCAATTCCCTGAAGTAGAACCTATCGATTTCAAGATTTAAAGATTCCCACTGCCATTAGTGACTGAAATACAGAAGCCTAATAATAATACTGGTATTTTGATATTTATTTATATAATGGTTGTACTTTATTTTTTGCCAAGAATTCATAAAATACTAGGATGAAAAATAAAGCATTTCAAATATAAAAATGTATAAACACAAAACAAAATGTAAAAATGTATTTATATATTAAATATCTTATTAAAATAAATTGCTTTATGAAATATAATTAAAACTTTAAGAAAACAGCTATAGGAAAAATAAAATTAAATAATGAAAATGAATTATTTTATCTTTCTTATATAAATTATTTAATTTTTAAAAAATATATTTTTATTGATTTCAGAAAGGAAAGAAGAGGGAGAGATAGAAACATCAATGAGAGAGAATCATTGATCAGGTGCCTCCTGCACGCCCCCCACTGGGGATCGAGCCCACAATCTGGGTGTGCCCTAACCAGGAATCAAGCCATCATAGGTTCATAGGTCAATGCTCAACCACTGAGCCACACCAGCTGGACTAAAATTCTTTAGATATACAGAATAGAAAATTGCATTATCTTTTACCTAGGTTCATCCATTGTTAACATTTAACCATGCATTCATTTTTCTCTGTGTGTGTGTGTGTGTATATATATATATGTGTGTGTGTGTGTGTGTGTGTGTGTGTGTATATATATATATATATATATATATATATATATAAAATAAATAGCATACGTTCCTATTCTTTTCTTACTTGTACTGTACCATTTGAAAATATGTTTCACACAGGACTCTTTAGGAATAAATACTTCACTGTATTTCTCCTAAGAACAAGGACATACTCTTTCTGACATTGATGTTTTTGGAGAGCACAGATTCACTGTATTATAGAATGTTCCTCATTTTGGGTTTGTTTCCTCATGATTCAGGTAATGCATTTTTGGAAGGAATAAATACTACATGAGTGATGTGTCCTCAGAAGATCACATCAGAAGGCAGATGATTTCAATTTGTGCTATTACTTGTGAGATTAACTTTGATCACTCGGCTAAAGGAGTAGTCGCCAGATTTTTCCACTCTAAAGATAGAATTTTTCCTTTTTTAAAAAAAAAATTGCAGTAACAACAACAAAAAGATAAGGGTGTCATGTTGAGTTTTAAGCATATTTTTGTGCAATTTTTCCCCATCTTCTCTCAAAGTCCTCTCTGATACTATAGAGTTAGAAGGAAGGATAGTGAGGAGGCAGTTAAAACTCAATTCTAAATATTTCCTTCTGATCTTTCGTCTTTAAACAAATCTACTCTGATAAATATAAAATATTTTGAACAATTTTTTGGAGGGGGGTAGAACGAGTATATAATTATTTGTTATTAGCAAGCAGGCAGATGGGAGAGAACAGGGTCAGAAAACTTGACCACTAGGCCCATATTAAAGGGACTCTCTCTAAAGCTTACATGAATAAGATCCCCCTGGCCAAAGATAGGATAATCTGAGAACTGATAAGGATAATAACTACAATGAATTGAAATACAAATATGTTTAAAGCTCATAGTGAAAAACACATTTGATTGAGCATATTCAGTGAATACTACGGAACCAACTCATTTTGAAAACCAGTAATTAAAGGAAAAGAGCCAAGCATTTATACTGCCTTTCTATTATATACTGTACCATAGGGTAAACAAACAACAAAATTTGATGAAGGGAAGTTTCTCTTTATAGAGTGCTATGGCTAAAAAAAAGAAATGACAGAAAATTCAGGAAACAATTATTCTTTCATTCTGAACTTATTTTAAAATATATAAAGTTAAAATTGTAAATATTCATACATTTCTTTTCCTAAAAAAAAGTTTACTTTTTAATTATTATAATGAATATATATACACACACACACATATATTTCATTTTAGCTGACTGCCAAATTCCACTTGAAATGCCAAATAAAGCAAATATAAAGGACTACATGTAGCCAAATAATAAAAGTAGACATTTAATCAAGGCACTTGGATAGTACAAAAACTGTAACTGGAAAGGCTTACAGAGCTAATTTTTTTAAAATGAAAAGCAATATTCTACAGTGACTTGATAAAGGTGTGATCACTGAGGACGTATTCTGCAAGGCACTATTCTAAGTATTGACTAATTAAACTTCACAGCAATCCCACGAGGAGTTCATTATGCTTAGCCCATGTCACACAGGAAGTGCCAAAGCAAGGATTTGTCTGGCTTGAGTCATTCTCTCATCCAAGCTACATACCAAAGGCCAGGACTAGAGTGAGGCAAGTGAGGAACTTGTCTTGGGTGCAAAATTTAAGGTGGTGCCAAAAAGAAACATCAGTGATCAGATAAGTATTTTAATGTGGTGGCTTTTTTGTTTGTTTTTTAAATATATTTTTATTGATTTCAGAGAGGAAGGAAGAGATAGAGATAGAAATATCAATGAGGAAAGAGAAACATGATTGGCTGCCTCCTGCACGACCTCCAGTGGGGTCAAGCTCACAACCAGGGCACGTGCCTTGACTGGGAATTCAACCGTAACCTCCTGGTTCATAGATTGATGCTCAACCACTGAACTACGCTGGCTGGGCTAATGTGGTGTTTTTTAAAATATATTTTTATTGATTTCAGAGAGGAAGGGAGAGGAAGAGAGATAGATACACCAATGATGAGAGTATCATTGATTGACTGCCTCCTGCATGCCCCACAATGGGCATCCACCTGCAACCTGGGCATGTGCCCTGACCAGGAATCGAACCGTGATCGATGCTCAACCACTGAGCCGTGCTGGTTGGGCAATGCAGTGTTTTTATAAATTAGAATTAATGCAAAAGTTCCATGATGAACAAACTATCAAAATTAAAAAAAAAATCAGAATTAGTGATTTTACTTTTTGCCTTAGGCTCCAGTGTGGTTTGACATTGTTGCTTGTCCTATCTTTATTTAAATTTTGTGCTCTAGGGAAGCGACTCACTCACCTCATTCCCCTCATCCTAGTATGGGTCCTGCTATAGCCCAATATAAGACCCACACCAAATTTTTCCTTGATGTTAAATCTTGAGTTCCAATCAATGACTGGCTCTTTTCATCACAGTAGCAATTATCTGAACTACTGATGCCATCTTTCTGAACTACTCAAGGCAAAAGCCTTTTTGTTGAATGCATAGTAATGAATATAATGAATATCAAATAACTTAAGCACTCACATGTTAAAGATACAAACTGAAATCCACTGTTGGCAAAATTCTGAGCTTAGCCTTAGTTGGCACTATCCCCATCTCAATGAATAATTAGATATGCATTTAACAAATGTTTATTGAGCACCTATTATATAATGTCTAAATTAGGTGCTTTAAGAATAATGCAATGGTTACATGAAATTTTTATACAAGTAAAGGGAGAGCAGAAAATAACTACTTTTGGGTGTATATCTCTTGGGAGGTAATCATGGAATACAATTTCTAATTTAACCTTCACATTATCCCTCTCTTATAGATGGAAAGACTAAGGCTCAGAGAGGTTTCATAATTTATCCAAGGTTATCCAGTTAGAAAGCAGTACTGGCTCCAAATTTTTTTGGTCACCTACCTGACTGAAAAAATAAAGAAACAACATCAAAAAACATTTATTATTATTATACTAAGACAATTCAAAATTCTACAAAGCATCTGAAGCTACCTATAGAACACTTACGATAAATGGGGAAATGTAAATATAAAACTGCTTACTAGATTCAAACCATATAAAAATATGTTGACATGTGGACAAAGAGTAAAAGGAAATCATTGGGTAATTGCAGTTGATGATAATATTCTTTAAAAATTATATAATACAATGCCCTAGCCAGTTTGGGTCAGTGGATAGAGCTTCAGCTCGAGGACTAAAGGGTCTTGGGTTCAATTTTAGTCAAGGGCACATATCTCGGTTGCAGACTCAATCCCAGGCCCAGTTGGTGGGAGACAACCAATCGATGTCTCTCTCTCACATGGATGTTTCTCTGTGTCTCTCCTCCTCCCTTCCACTCTCTTTAAATTCAATGGAAAAATATCCTCGGGTGAGGATTAACAACAACAAAAATTATACAATACAGTAAAAGGTATAGAAAGAAAGCAATTTAAACTGGATAAAACAAATCTAAGTGTCACAGTGTGAACTTTTATTTCTCACTATGTAAAATGAACAGAAAAGAGTTCTATATATGGTATGCTTGGTAACAGAAATTGAAGACTTCCAAGATAGACTTTAGTTATGATTAATCTGAGCTTCCACATCCTATGAAGTCAGTGGTTTGGTTACTAGCAATACTCCAAACAACAAACGCTATCATTAAACTTGACCTATCCAAATGTATAATTGGAACTAAAACTTGAAGTTTATACCTGTAATTTAACAAAAGGTCACAGCATGGTCACTGAATATAAATAAAACAGCTATATATTTTTGTATTTTCTTCACCATATTCAGTGATTATGTATTTTACCCTTTATATTTAAGGATGTCAACTTATTTCCCTATTTAAGAATACCAAATTCTGACTCACATTTCATTAATACACAAAGTTGGTTGGTGAAACATGAATTCCAATAATTTCTTGAAAAATCTTACGTCTGATAAGTGAAAAGAAATAAGGCATCTGGGAGGGAGTTACATAAATTTGAAATATTTTACAAACAGAACAGTAATTTTACTAAAAATTAAACCTATTCAGTCACAATATACAGTCACCTAGTCTGAGAAATAAGAAGTTTTCAACTTTTTAAAAATGCAAGAATGTTAAAATAGCAAACTAGCAATAATTCTAGATAAGGTATAACTGTTAAATGGCACGATCTCTCCAATTTCTAATATAAATGGTGCCTAATAATTCGTTAGAAAAACCTCCAAAACTATTCCTGGTTTTAGATAAATTACAATTGGTATTTACACCCATAAGAAACAGGCAGCATTCTAAAGGAAATTAGGACTTACTTGATAGTCATTTCTCTTAATATTTGGAACATCCATATTGTGAGTAGAAGGGCAAATATCTTCATATTTTTTGCCCGTGAAAATATCAATTCCAACAAGGTGAACCTGACAGAAGGGAGAACAGAAAACCTGTTTAAACTTTGCCAAGTACATCACTCATTACATACACAAGAGCACAATATCAACGCTGATTATGACAGATTCTTTCTCCTTCCAAGGTCATCTAATTTCACTGTCTTTAAAAAAAGATAGTAGACATAAAATTGAGAAGCAGTGAGCAACTAAACAGTATCATGGTCTATCAAGACCCAAATCATGTGCAGTCCCGTCATTAAACTAATAGAGGGCATATGAAGTCACGTTTTAGAATTAGGTTGGAACAGGTTTTCTCATTTGTCAACAGAACAGGCCTTCTAAGATTTAGAATATCTAGCCCTGACCGGTTTGGCTCAGTGGATAGAGCGACAGCCTGCGGACTGAAGAGTCCCAGGTTCGATTCCGGTCAAGGGCATGTAATTTGGTTGAGGGCACATCCCCACTGGGGGATGTGCAGGAGGCAGCTGATCGATGTTTCTCTCTTATTGATGTTTCTAGCTCTCTATCCCTCTCCCTTCCTCTCTGTAAAAAATCAAAAGAAGTGTCCCAAACGTCTTAGACACTCCAAGACCTTTAAAAAAAAAAGAAAAAGATCTAAGTCGCTAGGAAAGTTTCAATTCCCAATTAATGAAACGTTATAAGGGCCCAAGAAGGAAATGCTACTTTTCAGTATTCAAAGTAATAGCAGATCTCCCAGTAATTGCGGGAAGGGAAAAAAAAGTGCTTATTACAAAGTTGTAAGTATCGAAGCCTCATGTGCTGTAATGTAATCGATGATAAAAAAAAATCTCAACGCAAAAACAGACCTGGAAGGGCACCCACCTTGGCATGGCCGTGCTTCCCAGTTTTGGAAGTCGACATCTCGACTATTTTGCATGGTCGTCCCTTGAGCACCACGAAGCCGTTCTTGCGCAGGGCCGAGCACTGCATAGGGTACGTGCTGGAAGCCCCGGCATCGCCAGTAGTGAAATCAATCTCATCCGCCATGGGTGGGCTGGGAAGGCGGCAGCTTCTCCAAGGAGCTGCGCAAAAAGTTTGTGTTTGCTTTTTAAACAGCGGGCACACAGGGAAGGAAACAGCTCAGTTCGGACCGGTTCCGCGCCAAGCCTCGCAGATGCATCATTGTTTGCATGAGCAGAATGCCCACCCGAGAACCGTGGACACTCTAACTCCGGCCTCTACAAACTTTTCCATCATCAGTCGGGAGGTGGGTGGCAAGTCGCAGAGGAGCTCGCCGGGGTGGGGAATGGCCCCCGGGCGCTCACCCGCGCGGGGCGCAGCCCAGCCCAGCCCGGCCCGGCCGTCCCACCGCGGGAGAACCCGGCGACCTTCCCGCACCGCGCGGCGCCGCACCACCCGGCCCTCCTCCTCCTCCTCCTCCGCCGCCGCCGCCCCGATCTCCGCTGCGGGGACCCAGCCCAGGCCGCACGCCCCCGCCAAGAATGGGGACAAGCAGCGTCCAACCCTGGAGCCTCGGGCGTGCACTCCGCCCCCGGACCCCGGCGCGGTAGCCCCCGCCTCTCAGGCGCCCCCTGGTCGGGGGGATCCCCAGTCCGGCCCGGCCGCACACGGGCCTTCGCTCAGGCGGGTCCCGCGCTCGCCTCGGTTCCCCCATCTATCCTTCCTCCTTCGCTCGTGAGGACTCGGCTCCGGCCGCCTCCCCCTGACCTGCCTTGCTCCGGGCCCAGCCCTCCCAGTGTTCCCCTCTGTTTTCACCTTTCAGCGAAGAAAGAGCGCCTTTCCTCTCTGCGCACCGGCGCGGGTCCCCTCCGGCTGCAGCGGAGGCAGCGGTAGCGGCCGCGGCAATTCCAAGACACGGGGCGGGGCCGCCACACTTTCCACACCCCGGCCTCCCGCCCTCTCCCGCCCCCACCTCAGCCCCACTTCCGGGATAGGTCCGGCGCGTCACAGGCACGGCCCCCTCGGGCTGCCATTGGCTACCAGGTTCCCGAGGCCCCGCCCAGTCACGTGAAGAGCGCCCTGGCAACCCCACGTGCTGCGGCTTAGTGTACTTCCGGCGTGAGGAGCGCTTTCTGGAGGCTGGTTGCTGAGAGTCAACTCGCCGGCAAGGAAACGCGCTCCCGCAAACTTTTAGGTTCGTCGTGTTGGGGTTTCAGTCGAAGTTAACGGGAACCAAACCACGTGCCGGGTGGACCCAGCCCCGCGGGGCGTGTCTGCTGTCACGTGACGGCTGTCCGCCCTCTAGAGGCGAGCAAATTCAGCGGGGGTCCCACGGGGTTGTGGGTTCAAACTTTGGCCCTCCTTGGAGGTCAAGCCCAGGCTGTTCCTTGAAGAAAAGCCGAAACGCCATATTTTATTACCCGGCTCAGCCCTGTGGGCTTCTCCTGGGACCCCAGCCTCCCCGATGAGTTTGTGGCAGCGACTGCCTCTGGGTGCCCCGCTGGAGTCAGCAGCGCACTCTGGGGTGGGAACCCGTAAGACGCCCTTGTAGTGAAAGGCGGCGGTGCAATGACCTCCATCCCTCCTTCCTCCAGAGGCTGCTGGGAAGTTGTAGAAACGAATGCTGCCTGACTCCTACCACGTTGTCCAGTCCAGAAAGGGGTTGTGCCAAACGCATCTCTTCTTTCTTCCTGGGTCGGCATTCCATCGAGCGGCGTGTCCACACCTCTTGAGGGCAGTTGGGTTGTCTTCAAACTCGACCTGCAGCCCACGGAGACATACAGGCGTAAGGACCAACGCTGTTAAGAGAGATGTGCTCCCCTTTTCACAACGCACCACGTGCTCTTACCCTGGAAAGTGACCTCCACACCCCGGGTTATGGAGCCCTCTGATATACTGCACTGCTCTCATGAACTGTCCCATTTCTCACATTCCTATGTGGCTCTACAGTTTTCACAGATATTTCACACATACTATCTAACTTCACCTTTACAGTAAGCAAGTGAACTCCCCTACACAGCTCAGCCTCTAGCTAACATAGAAAGAGCCAGATTAGAACCCTGGTTCGTGCGCCTATTCTGCTTTTCTTGACACCACCTAACCTCTTCTCATCTATCGTTACTAGAGCGATTGCTAATGTTTAAAGAGTATATAAGCAGGAGAGACACTACATGTTTTATGTGTAGTATTCCTTTAGTCTTGACCTTGATTGTTACTGTTTTAAGCCTCAGATTTATTAAGTTATAATTTATAGGAAGTAAAATGTACCTTTTTTTAGTTATGAGTGTTGAAGAACATAGGCGTTCTTCAAAGAACATAGGTGTTATTACCGCTATAATCAAGATACAGAATATTTGCCTCATTCTGAAAGTTTCCTCCTGCCTTTTTTGGCCAGTCCCCTCCCCCAAACCCAGCCCCTGGTAATCATTCACAACTATTCTTTGATCTACATTTTTAGTTGTGGAAAATAGCAGAGTAAAGCTAATTTCCCCAAATCACACAGCTAGCAAGTCAGAAGGCCAAGATTGGCACTTTGGCTCTGCACTCATTGCTTTAACTACCGTCATATATTACATTCACGTAAGATTTGGATATGGAATCAAATGATCCGGCAATATAGTCAATTTTAGTGAAGTCACTGGAACGCTAAATCAATAAATACTGAATCATTGCTCCTCGGGGAAATATAGATTTAGGTTCTTTGAGCCTGTGGTAACATTTTCATCAACTGACCAAAATATAATCTTGTTTTATGTGTGTTTCTGTCTCAAAACTTTACTTAATATATATTAATTCATTAACATTTAACTCATAGCCAACAGCACTGTAATTCCTGCCCAAAGGAGGCTTATCTAATACAGTACTGGCATTTTCTCTGTAAGGCACATCACAGCCTTCTTGTGCTTATAAACACTGGGCAACACTGCAGCACTATGGGGGCCATTTTATTTATTTATTTATTTATTTATTTATTTATTTATTTATATTTTTTAAAAAATATTTTTATTGATTTCAGAGAGGAGTGAAAGATAGAAACATCAATGATGGGGAGAATCATTGATCGGCTGCCTCCTGCACCCCCAACACTGGGGATCAAGCCCACAACCCGGGCATGTTCCTTGACCTGGAATCAAACGGTGACCTCCTGGTTCATGGGGTGATGCTCAACCACTGAGCCATGACAGCCAGGCCATGGGAGCCATTTTAAACAGCGATGTCACCAACAAAAGTAAGAGAAAATATGAAAAAGTGGCACTGAAAGACTGAAAAATACTTTATTGTTTGACAACTGAAACAGGAAAGCAGAGCATCGCCTTGTTTGTTTGACCTCAGCCAGGAAAACGTGTGTTGTATGATACTAACCTTTCACTGCTCTGTGCATGACCATGAATGACGGCCAGAGCAGCTAGGGTATTGATTTTGAGGTTGCAAATAAATTTAGCAAGTAGGGAAATTCACAAATACGGAATCAATGAATAAATAATGAGGATTAACCTTTTTTAAAAAATAATCCTCACTGAGGACATGTTTATTGATTTTAGAGAGAGAGGAAGGGAGAGAAAGAGAGACAAACATTGATCGATTGCCTGCTATATGTGCTTCCCAACAGGGGATCGAAGTAACCCAGGCCTGTGCTGTGACCAGGAGTCAAACCTGCAATCCTTTTTGGTGTACTGTACGATGCTCTCCAGTGGTCGGCAAACTCATTAGTCAACAGGGCCAAATATCAACAGTACAATGATTGAAATTTCTTTTGAGAGCCAAATTTTTTAAACTTAAACTATATAGGTAGGTACATTGTTATTAACTTAATTAGGGTCCTCCTAAGGCTTAGGAAGAGCCACACTCAAGGGGCCAGAGAGCCGCATGTGGCTCGCGAGCCGCAGTTTGCCGACCACGGCTCTATCCGACTGAGCCAGGATGAGGATTGACTGTATTTTAACACCCTTGGTATTGAAATGGCCATACTTACTAAGGTAGCCTCTTGTTTATTAGTGTAAGACAGGCTCTTGTTTATTAGATCCCTGCAGTCTAGTGCAGAACACAATCTAGAATTTTTACCTGATAAAATAAATGCTACTATGAAATAACTATAGGATACTGAAAAAAGGGGCTCCTTCTCATCTAATCTAGGTGTTGTCCAGCTGAAATATAATTCAAGCCACGTGTAATTTTGAGATTTATTGTAACCACATTAAAAACCACCATAAAATTAATTTCAATAATATATTTTCTTTAATCCAGTATATCCAAAATAGTATTTCACATGTAACCAGTACATAAGATAATTTTACATTTTAAAATACTAAGTTTTAAAGTGTGGTGTAGAGTACATCTCAATTCAGATTAGCCACATTTTAAGTGCTCAATAGCTGTGTTTTAGTGGTGGCTATCATATTGAATATTACAAGTCTAAAAGATTTCAAGACTTCTCTGGCAGTGATATCTTAACTTGACATCTAAAAAACGAATAGAAGTTAGCAATAAAGATGGGTTTGGAAAAGGCATTTTTTGGCAAAAGGATTGGGGGTACAAAGACCTATAGGTGACAGAAATATGGCATCATCCTGGATCACAAAATGTTTTAATGTGACTGGTACATATTATAAAAACAGATGGGTGAATTTGGAGTTTTTCCCAAGGGCAATACACATTGAAACAATACATAGAAGAAAATGACAATGACATCTTTTAAATTTAGAAAGCCCATTCCAGTTATGATACAGATAATTTTTTTTAGGAAGGAAAAATATTGGAAATGGGAGACCAATTAGGAAGAAATAGTTAATGTTGGTGAACAAAGGTGGCAATTATGAGAATATAGAAAAGACATATTCAAGAGAATTAAAAGGAAAGATAGAATGTCATAATATTGGGGGTCAAATGGGATGGGAGACACTGGGTATGAAGAAGAGGAAAGCATCAAATTAAAAACTGGGAGGATGTTGGTACATTGATTGAAATAGGAAATATAAGAGAAAAGGCAAGTTTCTAGGGCAAATTGAGTTCATTTTTGGTCATTTTTGAGTTTAAGCTTTCTGTGGGAAAGAGGCATATCTTAAATAGATATTTGTGAATCATCATCAAATAGATGATTGTTAAAGCTAAAGCAAGAGACTCTCTTCAGCTTTATAAAAGGATGCACAGAGACGGAAAGTAACAGGATGGAAAAAGATAATACATGCAAATGGAAACCAAAAGAAAGCTAAGGTAGTTAGTTATACTTATATCAGCCAAAATAGACTTCAAGACAGAATGTAATAAGAAACAAAGAAGGTCATATAATGATATAGGGGTCAATACAATAAGAGAATATAACATTTGTAAATGTTTATGCACCCAACATAGAAGCACCTAAATATATAAAGCAGATCTCAATTGATACCACAGAACTACAAAGAATCAGAAGGTAATCTATGAACAATTATATACCAAACAATTGGACAACCTAGAAGAAGTGGATATATTTGTAGAAACATTTAATATACCAAGACTGAATCATAAAGAATAGGAAATCTGAGCAGACCAATTACTACTAAGGAGACTAAATTAGTAATCAAAACATCCCCCTACTCCACTCCCCGCCCCCCCCCAAAAAAATAGTCCAGGACCAGATGACTTCACTGGTGAATTCTACCAAACATTTAAAGACGAATTAATTGCAATTCTCAAATTTTTTCCAAAAAATTGAAGAGGATGAATCACTTATAAACTCATTTTACAAGGCTGGCATTACCCTGATACCAAATATCAGAAAATGACACTATGAGAAAAAAAAATTACAGGTTAATAACCCTGGTGAACCTAGATGTAAAAGTTTTCAAGAAAATATTAGCAAACCAAATTCAATAGTACATGAAAAGGATATACACCATGATGGAATGGAATTTATTCCAGGAATGCAAGGATGGTTCAACATCTGCAAATCAATCAATGTGATACATCACA